AGGATAACACTATCAATACAAAATAGCTTCCAGCTACAAAAGCTGTGTGCATCCTTGCAAAGAGCCCTGTCCTTTTCTCTGGATCACCAATGCTGAGAACATCTTCCTCTGAAGCACTGTCACAGGGAGACATGAAAAAGAAAAGTGTGAGTTCTCTTGAGCACAAAATGGATTATCCTTCAAATCCAGACCACTAAGTTTCACTTCTCAGGGTGTCAGTCAGTGTCATTTTTCCCAACACGTTTCAGCTTGACCAGAACTGAGATAAGTTTCTCTGTCAGGGTTTCTTTCGGGGAGTGTTTCTGCTGGGGTTTTAGGGTTTGGTTCCCCCCCCCCCCCACACCCTTTCTTGACAGCCTTTATGTTTGCTCCCAAGACAAATTCAGTCACATGATTCAATGTAAATTTAAAACGCAGTAAAGGCACCTCCACTGAACAACATCTCAACCACAAACTCACGCTGCGTCTCAACATCAAACAGCTTGTAGTTGCACGGAAGGGCCCCACCACTGACAAGGAACCCACTAAAGAATAAAGCCAGCAAGTCTTGAAAATTCAAACTGATTATACGATAGAGGGGAGGTTTTCCTGCCACTTTACTTTCTTGCAGCTTTCATTTTTTGCTCAAAATGCCCCCAAAGCAAGACAAGCTCAACAGAAGAAGGAAGAATTTGTTTTCCTTTTGAACTGCAAGCATTAACACTTTCTGAAGAATCTAATACACCATCTACTTCCTTCAAAACTGAGCTGACAGAAGCCAGCAGGGTCAAGGATGTTCCAGCTGGCTGTCCCAACAGCAAAACTAATTAGACAGGATGAGATTTCAAGGGCATTGTTCATCACCCCTTTTTTTCCTGCTACTATTTCCATGTCCCTACAAAGACAGATTCCCTGTTAGTCTAATGTCCAGCTTTAAACTAAAACACACCTTCCCTGTCTGGCTCCAGTTACTCAGAATAGTCATTAGATGGAACAGACTGTTCAATACATGTCCAGAATACGTACCGCAGACCACTGCAGAGATGTCTGAAGATCTCCAGGTTCTGCTACAGTGACAAAGCACAACATGGTTTGCCCATGTCTGCAACATGCCTGTATGAATCACCGCACCTTTTGGGTGTCTTGCTCAGTCAAAGATTTATGGCATAAATGTAACTCCAGGTCATCATTTACATTTTATTCTGGAAAAGCAGCAGTGTTGTCAGCCAACATCTAAACCAAATTAGGAGAAATAAAGGTTTCTCACCTTGGAATAAGTTTGGAGGTTCTGCTTAGAATACAAAGCCTAAAACCCAAGCAAATTACTTTTTACTATTACTATTTTAATAATTACCACATTTACTAACAAATTTGCATATTATTTAAATCCCTTACATTTTACCTTTGGCTAAAATAAACTAAACTGAGTTAACATTAGAAGGATTTATAGCACTGGAAATATTTGCAGCTTCCAAAATGCATTGATTCATAATTCTTCCTACATTTTATCTTTTAAGTCTTTTATGGGAAAAAAAAAAACAAAACCACACTACACTGGGATAAGAAATGTATTTATTGGTGGCTAAAATAAATCCCAATCTCCAAATTAAAATACCTGCTAGCTATTATTTTAGTGTATGGAATTTGCTCCTCTGTGCGCTACCAATGAGAACTCAACTCTTAGTTTCTTATACAAACTTAATATATTTAACATTTTTCAGTTTTAAGATGCACACATACATGCACAGAAATGCAGTCTGTTACCCTGACTCTTTGTCCCCAAGCCTGAGGAAATTTAAACCCACTCAAACCTGAAATTACCAGGCTTTGGAAAGCAGGAGCAATACAAGAGAGTAACTGCTCATGGTACAATCCAGACATGACTTATTCTTTCACATACACACACACTTATCAAAGGAAGTGACAGCTATAAGGAGTAAAGTGGCAAGAAAAATAAAGAGTCATTTACAAAGATTTTATGTAAAACAAATTTGCAGGAGGGAGGGAATAAAAATATTAAACCACAGCTACACGCCTGGTTAACAGAGGTTACAATAAGTAAGTGCACAAAAGCTTATTAATACAGTGACATCTTCAGACCCAACTGGAGACCTAATCCAGAGGATGACTACTGCCTTACCTGTAAAAATTCACTTATAAAAACATCCTGTCAAACTAGCAACAGTGCTGCTATTATCCCCAGGAATACCTTCTGTGCTGTACAAACTGCTGGCAAGAGTGGCATTGGCCCTGAACTGAAGAGAGAAGCAGCACCTTACTCTAAATCTGAGAGATTAGGTCCAGGACACTTCCTGCCTTGTACGGAGAGTATCAGAGCATCTCTTCTATGTATTTTTCAGAGTTCACAAGAAGAAAAGGGAAGGACCATTTATCTTGGCCTGCACTGCCATAAATGCGTTAAGAATTCGTTACACTTTCCTGTATTTTTGCATATGCCAGCCTGCTGAGTGTCTGGTAAGTTTACTGAAAAACTCCATAGACCTGATCATTCACATATAGAAGATGCCCCTTTCCAAGGGTCAAAAAAGCATGATCACAATTAAAACTCAACTCCAGGTCATTAAGGCCACACAACTAGTCAAAATAATGATGGGCAGGAGCTTCCCCCACCCTTTCTTTAACTGACAGATCTTATCATCAGCATGCTCAGTTCCCTTCCAAGTTTGGGAACTTTCAGTTTTGATCAAGAACAGCTTCAGGCAACTTCAGTACAAACAGCATCAGGAGACTGAACACCCGAAGCCTGTAGGTGGGTTATCAAAAGGAATCCAAATAATGCCAACAATAGCTCGGCTGTAATTATACCTGCAATGCTTGTCCTTGGGGAGAAGAAAAAGGAGATAGCAATTATCTACCAAGTTTTTGCAGTCTACTGCAAACATTTCCTTCCCTAAAAGCTGGGTGGATTATTTTTCTATTTTCAATCAGCCTGGCACTCTTAGAGATCACTCTTATTACTTGCTAAAGAACGATGATCAGATTCCATTAGTTAAAGCAAATGTGACAAGGAAGTAATTATAAAATGGAATTTACTTAAAATACCATTTGAGAAATCATATTAGCATTTATTAAGTAACTCTGAAAGAAGGAGCTGCCAAGCTATTCAACAAGGTACAAGGGTGTACGTGTGGCTGTCAAAAACAGCCACCATCAGCAAGTGACCCATCGGGTATATTTGAGATTTGTTGTTTAGCAGCTGAAAAAGACAAACATGACACTGAGCATAACTGGTTGAAAACAGACAGATGAACAATAACAAAAAAGATCAGTTCTTAACCCAAAGGAGACATGGACATTACAGAGTTCCCCTCCCACGGTACACCTTATGCAGACTGAATGTGTTTTTCTCTCTCCCTCACACACATAACCTGTTTGGGGTGGAGGTTTCACATCTAGGTTTAAAAGAGGTATCTTAACAATGCAGCTTGCAAGTGCCTCATTAGCACACAGCCACTAGACAGTGGTGCTAACAATCCTCACCCAGAACTCAGCCTGAAAAGCCAAAGGGGAAAACAATTTCCAAACCACAAACTGTCAGTGCAGTTTTCAAATTAGGAAAAGACCCTAAATTCAAGTTACAGCTGGGCACACCTTTACATACATAGTATGTGAATGGGAAAAAAATGAGGTAACCTGGATGGAGACCTGCATCTTCTTGTTAACATACCAAAGGCACTCAGCCCTTCAAGTAACAAAACTGGCACCTTTATGCCCACTTTTGTGATTCCAGCAATTTGCCTTTTTTAAGGCAGTAACATAATAAAAGACTGTAAAAGACTAGACTTGTGTGTTTTGACAGAGTAAGAAATTTTCACTTGAATTTGGGGCTTCTTTGCTGTTAGGGGATGCAGTGACTTTGTGCCATGCAGACAGAACAACACATCACTCAGCCAAAGTTTTAAGCAAACGTAAACCCGTTCCTGCCAGACTTCTCTGGCACCACACAGGAACATGACTTGCACCCAACTTAATCCCGCACCCCCTTCACCCACAACGATGACAAAAGGAAGGAGCTATTTTAAGAACTGCAGGGCGCTTGTCTTACAAACACAGCCTTGGTTGTAGAACCTGACCACCACCTGAACGAGGCTCTTGTACAGCCCAGCTATTTCAGACAGCCTTGCAGATGCAACCCAAGTCAGGTGGGCTGTATACGCTCAGGAAGATATCAAGGTGTTCTGTCAGGAAACAACCCAAAACTGCCCAGTGAGAACCTTCTTTTCCCTGTGACACCGCTTGGTTTTGCTGTGTCAGAACAAGCCATAATTTCATCGTCTCCAGGAACCTCTGCTGCCGTCAGGGCCAGGAAGGAGACCTAGAGAACCCTTCTGCCCTCCTGGGTTTAAAAGGTTCAAACCCCACGTACCTTGTGGCTCCTCCTTGCCATCAGGCATTTTGGCAGATACGGGAAACCTTGATATGGGCAAGGGCAATGTTGGATAACAGCAAATACCCTTGTCACCACTCAGGAGCAGGCACTGCACACCTCAATCTTTCACTATTATTGTTACAATTTTTACCATTATTATCAGAAGCTTAATCATTATCATAGTTAGATATTACTACTGTAACTTAGAATTATTACTGTTAGGCTTGTGACTAGTGCTGTTAGAATTTATTATTAACATTTATTACTAATAGTAGTCTACTAATAGAATTTTTAGAATCAGTTGTCATTAGACTTTATTATTACAATTTACCATTATTACTAGGTTTTAGTACTATTGTCAGATTAATTTTAGCACAATGTGTTATTTTGTTATTATCAGGCTCTTTTCACATTACTTACTACTATTACTACCATTTTTACCAGCAGTATTTTCGGATATTCCCCCCTATCTCACCCAGGAAGCGGCGGTCGTCCCCAGCCGGTCCCGCACGACGGACACCCGCCCGTCAGCACGGCGGCGGCCGGCCTGTCCCCCCCCTCCCCGTTCGGCAGCCCTCGCTCCGTCCCTTCGGCCCGCCCGGCCCCCCGCAGCCCCGCCGCAACCCCTCACCCTCGCATTGGTAGCCGGCCAGCCCCCAGATGAAGTCGGTGCAGTAGTGGCAGAAGGTGGGCTTGGTGAGGGTCACCCTGCGGAAGCCGTGGCCCGGCGGGCTGCTCCCCCCCGCCGCCGCCGCCACTGCCGTAGCCCGTCCCCGGTTGCCCAGCACCGGGCTGGAGGCCGGGCTGCCACCGCGCACCGAACGCGTCCCGTCCGCCATGCCCACTCCTCGCGGCGCGGCACCAGCCGCCGCTCGCCCTCGCTTCCGCCCCAGGCGGCGGCGGCGGCGGCGGCTGGGGGCGGGCGGGGGCGGTGCCCGTGAAGGCCTCTGCGGGTGGCGATGAGCTGCCCCCTGCTGGCAGCACCGCTGCACCGCGCAGCCCGTCTGGGGCCGCTGGCTGCCGCTGGCGGCCGTCCCGGGGGGCACCGGCCGGCTGGCTTGGCCCGGGAGTTGCAGCTGAGGTGACTGCTCCTCCCGGAGCGAGTTGCCCCGCAGGAGCGGGACAAGTAGGTAGCCGGGCAGTGGAAGGCCGGGTCCGCCGCGGCAGTGCCGGTGGAGCCCAACACGGGGAGGTGCGCACACCGCAGCGCCGGGCCTTGTGGTGGTGACAGGCCCGCAGCAGGAAACGTCGAGGAACCAGACAGAGCTGCCTGTGAGAGGGTCTCATTGCAAGGAGCATCGGGTTCGGTTTGCAGCTTAGCACTGTGAAGCTTGTAAAGACGTCCAGGTTCTTACTGTGCCACTGTGCAGGGCAGTTTCACTGCCCCTGGCCCCTGCAGTTCTGGAGCGCACAAAACTCCCATCTCAAGTTTTCTCATGATGCACTGGTAGAAGATGGCTTGCTATGGTTTTACCTTCTGCTGTCAACATCTCTGCCTCTATGAGAAGAACAGATGATGGGTTCTGCCCAGCAGTCTCTCTCTTCTGTAACACTTTTGTGCTATATGTTCCCTTTACCACCACCTTTCTAGTTTTGAAAACATTTACACCCCAGTATGCCTGTTCATTGCCTGTTACTACAGCAGGGGAAGTACCAAGGCTGGAGCAGACTGCAGTGAGAAAAGGCTGTTCGAAATTTGGACCAGAAGACCTTCGAAGGTCCCTTCCAATGCGAACTGTTCCATCAAACAACACACATAGGTGTGTTCGTTAAGCCACAGACAAGAAAAAAGCAGTTTAAATTTTCGTCCCTGACTCTGATTTGTTTGTATTTTGGTGAAAGGCTTAATAAGCCATCCTGCTGTCTTGTAGACCAGCACTGAAATCCTTCTAAAATTTCTTAGCATCTTCTAATCTTAAATTCCACTAATCTTACTTTACATGTCTTTTCTGTGCTGTTAATATGAACTTATTTATGATCAGGAGTAAGAGATTTGACCAGTTGAAAGAGAAACATTAAAAATCACTTCAGAGACTAAAGAAAGCTTGGTGTGACCTTTTTTTTGTTGGAGAAAGAGTGAGCAGTTAAGATACAAATGTTTTGAAGTAGTTCTAACTGGTCCTACAAACATATGTAAAATACTATAAAGCTTTATGGAGCTCCAGCTATACAAGAGGATGCAGAAGAGGGAAACAGAGTGAACCCCCTTGCTTTGAAGAGCTGTGCCTGCTGAATGCACAAATGAGTGCATGAATGCTGAATGAGCCAAAGCCCATAATGACAGGTCCCATCTCCCACAGACTCAACCCCACTTTGGCCTTTGTGGTAATCTTAGAGCAAGGCCTCTTGGAACACATTTCTAGGCATGTAGAATCATAGAATACCAGGTTGGAAGGAACTGCAAGCATCATCTGGTCCAGCTTTTCTAGGCAAAGCTTGACCTAGACTAGATAGTCTAGGTCCCAGCATCCTGTCCAGTCGAATCTTACAAGTGTCCAGCACTGGGGAGTCCATCACTTCCCTGTGGAGATTCTTCCAATGTCTGGTTGTTCTCTTTGTGAAAAATGAGAACCTGGCAGCGACCAGGTTCAACAGAATCCTGGGCTGCTCAGGAGCACAGGCAGTAGGCTGGGAGAAGGGATTATCCCTGCCTCCTCAGTGCTCATTAGAGTGTTACATTCAGTTTTGGCCCCCAGTACAGAAAGCATAATGAAAAATGGACCAAGTTCAGTGGAGGGCCACCAGGACGGTCAGAGTGCTGGAGCATTCACCCTTTGAGGAAAGGTTGAGGGAGCGGGACTTGCTCAGCCTGAAGAAGAGACAGCTTCAGGAGGACCTCATAGTAGCCCCTTAGTACCAACACAGAAGTTTTCAAGAAGATGGAGAAAGGCTCTTTACAGTGGTATTCGCTGGAAGGACAAGAGACAAAATGTGATGTGGCTTTGAGCAGGGCAGTTAGTCTAGGTGACCTCTTGAGGTCCCTTCCAGACTGAATTATCCCACGATTCTAGGATTCAAAGTGTTACACTAAGACATTTCAAATGTGAATGGACCTAAACACACACACAGCAAGACTATATCTCTTAGCAGTCTGGCTATATTGTCAGTTGGTATGAGCTGATACAGTTCCTTGAGTTTTATCTCTCTGTGCACCAGGTGAGAGTGCAGATGTTCACAGAATTCGGAGACCACAGGTATGTTTAAATCGCTCTTCAACAGAGAACAGGAGACTGAAACTAAAGAAGTAGAACATTTGCCATGCTGTCTGCTTGCCTTAACTCCCACGTAGTCTACTTCAGTGCTTTCAAACAAGCTGAGTTTGACTACATTATGACAAAAGTTATAATTAGATGAGAAGTGCCAGTGGTTTTTTAGGTGGAATTCTGTGCTGTTAGCCAGAATTGTTCTTAGAGACATTCATCCTTGTTCAGGACTGGCAGCTCAGTGTGGTAAAACTGTGATAGGTTGTTTGGGTCAGGATATGTGAACGGGGTCATCCTCCAGAAACTGTAGTCAATACTCAACTTATATTCAGATCTTTTTTGGAACTTGTTTCAGATAGCCCAATATCATGAACAGTAAAAGAACATTATGGGGAAAAAACATCTTGGTTTATCCTAAAAGAATTATATATTCTCATGGATAAATGTTCTGGAGCATTTCAGTTTAAAAGATTTTGTGGAATTCCATTAAGGCTTTGATTCAAAACCAAGATTCCCATCTACTCTAGCATGAACTACAGATACCCATAAACAGGTGAAGAGGTAATTTCTACCCTTATGCTTCCATCGTAAAATATAGAGCTGGTAGAGAACAAAGGATTGCGTTTGTTAAAGGCTTGGCAGCTCTTCCAGTCTTTCAATATATATAAATAAATGGATAAGTATATAAAATCATGAGATATCCACCATATCTGAATGGCCTGTTTCAAAAGATGTGCATAAACCTCCAAGCTGCAGTGAATATGAAGGGGATTTTGATCTTGCATAAATTTTTGCTTTGCAGGCTGATAATTGAAAGATGGAATAAAGGGGAACAAACTACCACTTCTTAGAAGAAAGAAGTGCCACACAGATGAAAACAGGCAAAATTCTAAAAGCACCCATTTCCTATGTTTTGACCAGATCAGTAAAAAGGGTCAAAGTGTGATGCCTCTGAAAAGATAATTTACTTAGTATTATACCCAGATAAATATTTTGCAGTACTTGGAGTACTTGCAGTGACCTCAGCAAACTCAAGTAATACAACTGTAGGGCAGACAGTTCAGGAAAATCCTCATTTTTGCAAGTTTCCTGACTTGGTAGAGATGCATTCTGTAAATCAAGCAACCTTTACACCTTGGGACTTCTGAACATTTTGTAACCTTCTTGCAGCCTGTGTATCTAGGGAGAAGACATACTGACGTATTAAAAGCCTTTCATACCACTGAAAATTGCAAGTTCTGGTACATTACCCCCAGTTTATGTACAGAATTAAATTACTTTCATGTGCTGTCAATATCACATATTTTTATCTTTTAAGTAATACAGTAAATTGTATCAGTGCTTGCTTGACACTCAATACTATGAAAGCCAGTTACTCAACTCTTTCATGAAGCAATTTATTTGTAAGCAAGCTGCAAAAAGCTGACAATAAACAATCAAGTCAAACCCAGGCACAGAGAAGATTTTGTAAGGTTGTATAAATACAGGAGTAGAGGAGTGGAAAGCAGAAGGAGGCACGCTGCTCTCGGTGGCAACCAGTGAAAAGGTTGAGAGGCAATGGGCACAGACTGAAATTGAGAAGATTCTACAGAAGGCTTTTCTCACTCTAGGAATGTTTCTTTCCCTATCACTAGGCACTGAAAGAGAGGTATGACATAAATTATATGTGGAGGTAGAAAAGGAAAATTTAAAATAAACTATGGCTGTTACAAATGAAGAATTTAAAACACAGGCAGTGCTTTGAATGTGTCCTGGTTGGCAGCCAGAAGAAATAGAGGGCTATCAGGGCAGGTGGGTTGGTTTAAACAAGTGCATCAGTATTTGAAAACTGAGGGTTAATCTGGTAGAAGTGGCTCAAGAAGTATCAGCTTCCTAGGCAAAAGCAGTTTCAGACTTGTGCCTTTTTTACCTCTTCATAATTAAAGTTGTCGTTACCTAATTCAAAAGCAAATCCTGATGTTCATTTAAGTGGGATACTGTTTTGAGATGTGGTTTTTTGCTAAAATTTCACAACTGAAGAGACAAGGAAAGTATTAGATCACATTTGTGCATTCTTTGGCCATCAGTGGAAAGCAAAAGAGAAATGCAACTTCTCATACCTACACTACAAAAAGTATTAATGAATACATAGCATTTAATTCGTTTTGGTTTTGCTTCCTAGGATCTCTACATCTTACTTCCTGGGGGGAAAAAAAAAAAAAGTCTTTAAAAAAATTGCTCTGATCACAACAGAAACAAATTAAGTGCAGACCTGTTGGTTAAAAGCACTAACAACTACCTCTGAATAAGAGAATCAAAAGCTCAGATATGGATAGCCAACACAAAGTTCTGGCTCAGTTTCAAGTTATGCGGCAAAATAGCTGGTATGTCTTTCAATATTTTATTTGATTCTTTATATAGCCAGATTAAGGTATTATACCTTTTTGGATAAAGTTTATAATAAAGAACACTTTATTAAAAAAAAAAAAAGAGAGAAATTAGAATGTCTATCCTCTTGAACTCCAGAAAATAAATTATGTATTATCTTATATATTAATATTTATCCATAAAATATACCACTCCACAAATGGATAGAGAGATTTAGTTCAAAAGAAAGTGCTTCAGTCTAAATAAGTATGTCTCCTGTGGATAAAATCCTACAGAGATAACATCAATTAATGTAACTGCAGCTTAAGAAAATCATTATAGTCAACACTAGTAAGTA